ACCAGAAGAAAACCAACAATTATTACATGATTCTACAGGTTTTGAAGAAAGTTGTGAAGCCAATGATGAATATGAAGCAATAATTTCTACTAAAACAAGAAGCAAGTACCCAATTAAGCAACATAATATACGAAATAAAAATGCTTAAAATTTGTTTTAAATAATTCTATTATTTTTAAAATAAAATTTGAATTACTTCCATTAATTTCGACATTTTTTGTCATCTTTGACATTTTCATCACTTTCGTCACTTTCGTCACTTTTGGCAAAAGTACTTATCATTTGCCAAAATACTTTCCACCCTCCAAAATACTTTCGGCACCCAACCTTGGTTTGCCTGAATAAAATTTCACAATATTTGCTCAGATATTTGTAGGGAATTAAAGCGAAATGCAAAATGCTTAAAATATCTTTATTATTATTGAATCGAGCTAGAGTTGTTATCCATAATACAACTCAATTGATTCGAATGATTCATTTTATTTGAATGGAAACTTCAAGCTGAGCAGGCTCGAGTTAAAATTTGAATTTCCAAGTTCAAGAGAATAGGCTCTTAAATTGTTTTTTAGGCGATGTGCATAAATAAAATAAAAGTATGAAATAACCTATATAACATCAAACTCAAGCCAAGTCGAGTCAAGCTGTACATCTGGCTTGGTTCATTCGGAGCTTTATTCAAGTGTATGAGTATCATTTATTTTGAAAACATAAGTACTATAATTCCATGGTAGATCTGATATACAGTGAACCCCCCTTGGGAACATAGTGCTATTTCTTGTGAGCGTGCATTTATGGAGGGTGTGCATTTATGGAGGGTATACATAGTGTGTGCATTTAGGGAGGGTGCACTTGGGGAGGGTTCACTGTATAAATAAATTTCATATTAATTATTTTATGTGAAGACAATCCTATGTATTATCATAATCATATCTTATTGGTATATAGTACAGCTGTGTAATTTGATTATATAAACAAGTAATCATAAACTTGAGTACTGAGTAAAAAGTTGCCAAATTTGAATACCAAACACGGTTTCGTGGTTTTACATGATGGAAAAATAAAAAACCATTTATATTATTAAAATAAATGATTATTGAGGAATTATTTATTATTTATTATTTTTAAGGGCTGAAGATTCATTTTCTTAATATTCGAGTCAACCCAAGTTTGACCTTGTCCAGTTCAGCCTGAACGGGACAGCTAAGTTGATCTGAATTCTAGTTGATAAGTTGATTAAGTATTAGTGATCATTATTTTAATTATTTGTTTTATTACATATAAATAAATTATTTACCATTAGGAAAATGATCACCAATTACAATATTCATTAGTGCTGATCAATTTATTTTAGTATAGTACGATGCAAAAAGTAGATTAAATCACTACATAGTAAACAAATCTTTTTTTTAGTAAAACAATTTTTTTTTTACTGATGATATTCTTAACAATATTTTGTATTTCATAAAAACCTATTTTTCTTTGAAAAAAATTTTTTTTTTATTTTCACTATATACACTTTACATTGTCTACCAAATCTTCCCAGGGTAAGTTTTATAATAAAAAAAAGTCCACCAAATCTTCCCACTGTTTATGGTGGGACAAAAATACTATAGAAATAGACAAATAACTGATCTTTATTTAAATTTTTTTTTAGAATAATAAATAAACATATATATATACATATATATATAAAATTATAAAACAAACCAAACCCAAGTACTGAAACTGTTTAATATATTCTAGTCTTTAGTCTTATAGTTTTTGTTTTTTATTTTCAAATTAGAATCAAACTTATAAACGCAATCTGTGCCAACATGATTATGGGTATAAAAACATTAATGGTTCACAAAGACATGAAGCTCAAAACAATAGAGGCGGAACAGGGTGGAAGAAATTTGTTCTAGTTATCATGAAGCTTGCATTTGTTCAAGTATTTGGAAGTTATATATATAACAACCAGAAAGTGGAGGAGGAAATAAAAGTTATGTATAAATAGGAGCATGTGTAAACAATAATAATTTATAATAATAATTTTTAATTTTACATTAATTTCTTCACCAAATTATACTAATTATGTTTAATAATTATTACTGGAATAAAATACACATTCTTGCTGGATTGTAATTAAAGTCTTCCTTTATTACTGGTAGGATCAGAGCCTCGACTGGTGGCAACAACTGAACTTTGGAATGGGAAATATTATGACGCAATGCATAATTCATGAAATTTTTAATTATGCGTGATACAATTCATAATTTTGATAACATATATAGTAAGAATATACTTCACGTCACCAACTATATGTCTTGCGTCACAGATTATACCTGCGTCACAATTTGTTATGCTAATTATTAATAAATAAAAAGAAAAAACATATGTTAAATTAATAATAGCAAACATACAATATATTTTACAATGAATTATTTGTTTTCTTTTATAGTTATCCTAGTGGGTTTAGCTATTGATTACTTTGCTGACCGTTTGGGTCATGTGATTTTATAGTATTGTGACACCAAAAATAGTGTGTCATTAATTTGAGATGATCAACAAGGGAAATTTTTTAATAAATAAATTAGCAGTAATGTAATCATTCTATGCCATTGAAACAGATTAGAAAATATGGAAGAATAGCTGCAAAATTTATGGATTGTTACAGGAAAGGTTTAACAGTATTCCAGGCTGAATAATTTGTAAAAAAAATTAAGTCTCATAGAAAGATTCCAGATAATGTTATATAGATGAATCAATATAAATGATTTTTGGAAAGTCACATGACAAAAATTAAAAATGTCATTAGTGATAAATTTTTTTTTGAGTTTGCACAGAATTTGATGTGTTAGGGCAACCTGCACTGTAGTAAAATTTAAAGGCTATCATGAAAATTTTCGAAAATGGGATTTTGAGCCGAGATCTAGTCATTTAAGGATGTAACTTCTTTATAACATAATATTCACTTTGTTATATATAATAGTAATAGCATTTAATTAATTTTTTAATTGGCCAATCAAAATTGTAATTTGTATTGTATTACATCAAGTGATAACTAATTTGATGGCACAATTTATTTTCAATTTAGTCACTGATAATCGTCATAATGTGATATAAATGAATTTAATATGCTAAATTAATTTTCAAAACATTTTATTTTTTAAATTTTTAAGAAATAAAAAAAAATTAATTCTAAAAAAAAAAATGAATAAATTTCTTTTTATAGAAAATAGAGAAGAAGAAGAGAAAGAGGCAATAGAACAAAATCTAGAACAACAACAAAAAAAACAAGTGAAAAACAGAATACGATATCGTTATACAATAGAAGAATTATTAGCATTACAACATAGTCCATTGGTTGAAAAACCTGAAGGTTTACCTTCAATTCTTGAATCGTGAGTAAAATTAAAATATAAATTAGAATATAATTTTTATTATACTATTAATTAATAATTAAATATTATTGATGTCGTATTTTTTCTAATTATTTAATTTGTTTAGGGAATGTATCAAGAAAGAAGGCAAAAAAAGTGTAACTGATGGTAGTAATACAGATAATGAAAAAAGGTATAATAATTAGTGAATATTTAAAAAATTATATTAGAATAATTTGAGGTTGTAGTTTCATTAATTATAACGATATTTTTTTTGAATTATTTTCAAATGAAAGCAATAATAAATCATCGAATCACCATCATAACGATGGAACAAAAAAATCAAAAGAGGAGTCAAATAATTCTTCATTTGGAAATCAAAAAAGTCCTTCGTTAACTGTTTCCAATAAAAGCCCTAATGGATCAGTACAAACCTCACCTAAACCATCGGGTAATTAGTACTATTAATTTATATTAAATCTTTTTTAGAATAAAAATTAGCAATACCAACTAATATTTCTACTAAATATATACATGTTAATAGATAGAATTATTCTTGGCCCTCCAAAAATGACTTTTGCTTCTTCCTCTGTAGGAGGATTAAGAATTACTGAAGAATAAAAATTAGCAATACCAACTAATATTTCTACTAAATATATACATGTTAATAGATAGAATTATTCTTGGCCCTCCAAAAATGACTTTTGCTTCTTCCTCTGTAGGAGGATTAAGAATTACTGATCCAGAAGAAAATAAAAATGTTAATATTAATAATAATAACAATAATAATGCTCCTCAAGTGAAGACAAGCAGATCAGATGGACTACGACAACGCCAAGTGAGTGACTCATTGGCCTTAGACTACAGTGCTGATACGTTTAAAAAAAATATATATGTAATAAAAATAGTGCATTTCATCATTCAACCAACCAATAAAAAATATATAACTCAATTAATCATTCTTCAACCTCTACATAATTTAATTCTTCATCTTTTATCTATTTACCTCAGGGTGACGAAGTCTCTTATGTGAAATCTCGAGCACCTCGTGGACCCACCAGTGAACGAGGATTTATCGGCAGAGAAGCTATACGAGAACGATATCTTGCTGAAAAGGCATCAAAAGAATTAAATACTTCATCGAATAATCATAATAATCACCATATTAATAGTAATCATCATCAAAATCATCACAATCAACAACATCACCATCAACAACAACATCACCATCAACATCATAACAGTAACAATAATAGCAATAACAACAATAACAGTCATCATGGCCGCAATTCTGGAAATTCTCGATCTCATGAAAGGAATAATCGTAAAGATGGTATAAATATCAATTAACTACAAATTAATATTTAATTATTTTTTAAAAATATTATTAACAATTATAACTATAATAATGATAATAACAGGTAACAATTTCAGTAGTAATCATCATATAAATAGATCAAATTATTCAAAAAATCATCATAATCACGACGAAAGATCCGAGATACCATTATGGGTAGACTATAATCCGCAAATCGATGAAGAACATAATGGTTCAAAAAATGGATTGGGAGATTTCGAATATCATCAAAAAGGATTTGATCTTCAAGTTTGGAAATCACAGATGAAAGAACTAGATAAAGA